GACTAAATTCTCCAGGGTTGGCGAGATCTCCTCTTCGGTCACTGCGACACCATGATGTGTCAAACCACTTCCCGGGGCAAGGAGATTGTTGTTGAGAAATGCAACTAGTCGTTGGTAGAGGTCCTCTGGCCTTTCATCTGGTTCAAGTTTGAATTCACAATAGTCTAATACTTGTGCTCCACTGTTTTGGCATCCGAAATGGTGCTACGAGCAATAATTGGACAAAAATTTGCTATTTGTCCCAACATTAGTTCAAGAAACACCAATTTTTGATCAGCTGTTTTGCCATTTCTGTCACTAGTCAGGCCTCTATGAGGATTATCTCGAGTTTTTTTTTGTCCAAACGACATCAGCAGATAAAGGAGCAAAGTTTTCATTCAAGGACAAAATGTAGGTTAAATTTTGTTTCCAAGCTTCGAAAGATGTGAGTGTCTCTTCTTTGGTAAGAAGGAGCTCTTGTAGATGACATTTTCTGTTATAACATGGTATCGTTTATAAAGTGTGTAAAATGGCAGATTTTTGGCAATGAGCCAACAGTAGTCTATTTGTACCGAGTGTACAACCTGTCTTCGGGAACAATGCTATAAATTTGCTGATTGAGATGTAGGTAAGTAAATCCACAGTGAGCCACCATGACAGTTTTCAGTAGAGGAGCAAACACGAAGACAGTGACAAACTGTTAACATTTTTTTAATACCGGAAAGATGTTACAAAAAACAATACACACAAGAGCCGAAAACCGTCACTGGAAGTCACCCTTCCGCACATGGGCCCGACTCATAGATCACAGAGATAAAAAACAAAGGTCATGTGTACACATTGGTGTGCACTTAAAAGTTCCCTTGGAAGTTGGAATTCAATATAAGAGTAGGACATAGCGCCGGTGCCCAGGCAAAATTTCTCTCATAACATACTATATGGCGTAGCCCATAGGAGCAGAACAGTGTGACGTTAAACCCCATTTCATTTCATTTCCTTGTCAGATCCTCCATTCTGCATCACTGACAAGGGGAAAGACAAATGCTCAAAGTCGGGTGGTATGAAACTCTTATTAAATGATGGGGTATATACCAGCCTTAATACGAAATTCCAGATATCATGTTCCGTATCACTGAAAAGCAGGTTTATTTCTCGTTTCAAATATGTAAATAATTTTTCTGGCACATTTATTTCTTCATGGCAAGTCGACTTATTGTATGGTGACTTATTGTATGCCAGCTTGATCTCTGCCCCCATCGATTGATCTGGACATTGTTGATTGATCCCGTAAATTATTAATTTCTGTCCTAGTCTGGTCATTCTTCCGTATGCAAATGAAATTCCATATACGGTATAGGTTCTAATATGCTAAGTTCTATTATGCATTTGTCTATAATGCAAAATGCAGAATGGAGAAGTGTAATTTGCAAGATAACTGTAATACCGTATTTTGTATTATTGAAATGTGTATTCTGAATTTAAATACTGTGACATTGGTATTGTGGAGCAATAGAAATTGCAAATTGTAAAACTAAAATACGTATTTTGAACTGGTGACATTTGCATTTTGCACCATGATGACTGAATTAATATTGGCAACGTTATTCTTCCATAGGTAATGGGTCATCATGCCATACATACATAATATGACTACTTGGAGCTGACAATTTTCCAAATTGACATTAAAACTACAAGCATGTCAAAGCTACTTAAGTCTCAAAGTCACCCCGTTTTACCTTATAGTAAATGCAGGAGGACAACACCACACACAAACAGAAATCCACATCCATTGCAAGCAATAGATAGCAAAAGTATTATATCAGATCAACTGAGTGGATTCGGAGACTAGACTTGTAAGCGTCCACTGCTACATGTATTTTTAAAGTTAGAAGAAACCCATGGTATAATAAAAAAAATTAATTGTTAAATAAGTAGGTCAATATTCAAGTAAGTTTCTCCTATTCAAATGACCTTGATTTTACAGACAAATAATTAAAATTATACCTTCAATTTTTGATATTGTGTAGGACACGTGCAGGGCTAAATTTTTAATAAAAGGTCATCTCAAGGTCATGTGGGCCTCAGAGTCAAGTTCAAGGTCAAAGTAAAGATTTTTGTGAAAAAAACATGTTACAAAATATTAGTTTTTTTTTAACGAGTAGCTCAATATCCCATAGGTTTCTATTTTTAAAAAAATAGTTTTATGATTTAGGTTTAATTTTAGTGTTTTTTTGGATTTTTTTTTTAATAAACCTGGGGCATCAGCCATTATGGGGCTACAAAGAGTGTTAAAATGGACACAAAAATTATTTTTGAATAGAAATATATCCAAAAGCCTTTGCTGTCCCATGAATGTTTTTGTATTTTATAGACATCATGTAGGTAGTCTTGCAATATGACACATTGCACCAAATCAAACGGCGTATGTAGACTAGAATAACCAGATGCTAGAAATTTGCACTCCCTTGAGACTGCTGGCTTATTTCGCCGAACATAACTGATTTTAAAATTTGAGTAAAAACGGAAACCATTGAATGTAAATCAGTTTATATACATTCATATTACAGTATTATATGCGTTGTGACCCACTTTTGTCAATTTCTAGGTCCCAAATGTTAGCGATTTAGCTCCTTTAAACAATAATATCCAAGATGCATTCCTTACTTTGCATGCCGTATGAAGAAGCGACAGTAAACGGAATTCAGCTATCAATAAAATTCTCTTTGAAAAGAAAATTATTGGCCATATTATTTATTTCCATTTCCATTCATTGAAGTGGAAAAGTTATTATATGGGACGGTGAGAGGGTATCTCACAATTCAAAAATAGAATTGGCTCTCACTAGATAAGGGAAAAAGAGAAAAATAGAAAAATCCCGTGCATTCCCCCATTTTTATTCATTCTGTTCTTAATAAAAACATGGTAATGCACGGACATTTTCTAATTTGTTCTTATCTTTTATCTACTGACAGCCAATTCTTTTTTTGAATTGTCAGATATCCTCACATCGTCTCATATAACAACTTTTCATCTTCAACTGAATTATTAGTGAAATGAAATTTGATAGTTTGTCTGTTACTGCTCGCTACTTCAGTCTGTTGTATAGAAGGACAAGTCGTGTTTGTCATGTTTGACGTCACTTCCCATTTCTTCACGTGCTTGTTACACATATCCCGTAGCAATGATCTCTGTGTTAAAATTATATTTGAGATGTATTTAACGAGCTCTATCACATATTTTATAGTGACTGACACCAATATTGTCCTTTAAGGCCTATAGATTATTTTTTGAAGATGATATGAGATATAAATAATCACCACGTGGATTAATTATTCGGAGTAAATAATGAGTTGTCGACGGCTTTATCACTGACCCTTGACAGTAATAGTATTACTCAATGACACACACCCGCTTGTTGTTTAATTTACATAATCAGCCACGTGTTTTCGATTAACACTCAACGGCAATCTATATTCGATCAGAATTTTTTTTTTTCTGCCACTTATCAGAGTGAATCGCATGTAGGTACTCAAAAACATTATCGCCAAAACCAAATATTTATCGATAATGCCTTGCATGTGGTGGGTTGGCCAATCAGCAAACGAGTTGTATAGACAGCATGGCAACAGGCGGAGTTTATTTATATTTTTTAGGGGTTTTAAAACTCGACTGTATCCATTCAAAATCAATTCATCGACAATATTTTGATCATATTTGTAAACTAGAGATGCTCTGCTTTACAACGATGGCATTTATTATGCAAGAGGAATGACTGGTCGTCGCCACGCTGCAAGCGAACAAAAATAATGAATTTCGCCGAGAATTTTAAGAAATAGGACAGATTTAAGAATACGGTACTCTTACAAAATGTTCAAATAAAGGTGTTTTAAAATGTTTTATTGCTATTTTCATCTTTTGTGTCAATAGATAGTATATTTATAGACTCATTTTTGTGAAAATCTCAATTTCGATCAAAATCTATATTTTCACTTATTTTGTCTTTATCTCATTATTGATTCGTGCGCATTTCGACTCATTTAGCTGTGGCCAGTCACATATATTTTTTTTGCATTATTTATTGTTGAACTATTATAGCAAGAACGACCAGCTCTTTATCTAAATCTTACATAATGTATCTTTAATAATATTGTAAAGGCGTAGATTTGAAACGCACCCAATTAAGAAATAATTGTGCCTTAGCTGAATTTTCGCTAGCTCAGTTAACAGAACTACGATTGTTTGTCAACAGGGTTTACATATTAATTGAATTTTGCAGTAAAGGATTATCCCAGAGATAATTAACGAGATAATTAATTCGTTCAAATGAAATAATTAATTTGTTCAAACGAGATAATTAATTCGTTCAAACAAGATACTAACTCATTCAAACGAGATAATTAATTCGTTCAAACAAGATACTAACTCATTCAAATGAGATAATTAATTCGTTCAAACAAGATAATTAATTCCTTCAAACGAGATAATTAATTCCTTCAAATGAGATAATTCGTTCAAATGAGATACCAATTCGTTCAAACGAGATACTAATTTGTTCAAACAAGATACTAACTCGTTCAAACGGATTAATATACCGGTAGAATATTTCGTAGTAGAATATTTAAACTTGATGTAGATGTTCATTAGGTGAATGTCTTGACTGATTAACATTTCACACTATTAAAGCTAAGCAGAGCCAAGAAATTTCATTCGTAGATGCTTTGGGACAAGATAACTTTGATTCTAGCCAATGGAGAGTGATGAAACTTAGTATATAGTTTCACTACCAGGTGCTTCAAAACCATGACTGAGTTTTATCGTGAACATTTTATGCTTAGACTAAGTATAGATATTCAGTTTGATTGCTTGATACTTTCGCAAAAGATAAATGTGCAATTAATTGATATGCGTCATCTATTTAATTTGGGATTTCAGCGGGGGACACCAGCCTCACTGTTGGCTTGTTTTGTATTCAACTTATTCAAAAGATAGTTTTATTTGTAAGTATTTATTTGTATTCAAAGGTATTGTTGAACTTGTAACAGAATCTGATACATTACGTAAAATACAGGTATCCTGTGGGGTAACAGGGTCATTTAAAGATCGACCTATCAAAGAATGGTTACAGAGACATAATCCAACTGAGTTAGAATATAGAAAGGTTAGTTTAACAATAACTTGAATATGGTGTTTATTTCTTGAAATGATGATACTTTTAACTGTGCAAATCTTTAATCGCAACCCCTGTCAAAACATTGTACCAGCAATATACAAGTGTTGATTATTGTTGTTTATCATTTCAATTCTGTCTAATAGTCGCAAGCTCCCCATCCCAAATTGTCTCATCTTAACTTGGGCTGTCATAAAATACTGCAATATCGAAAAATTAATTGTCCCCTGCATTTCGATGAAAGCCGGAACTATTAAAATGGTCTGTCTATCTGTCGGTCCGTCTTTTTGGGACACAATAACTTTCCTTCTAATTGAGCTAGAATATTCAAACTTGGTGTAGGTGTTTATTAGGTGAGTGCCTTGATGGTGTTCAAAGATGAGTGTTTCTTCATAGGGTAAGCAGAGGTAAGCAATAATAATTGATTCTTTTACAGGAAAAATATTTCTCGGCAGCTGCTCATATTACAAACTAATTTTCGCATACATTCTCTTCGTATGGATTATTGCTACGAGTTTATGAAAGTTACAAAGAAATATTTTAAAATATGAAGGCGCTGAATGAGTTGTAATTAGCTTAATTTTACACCTTTTTTCCACCTTTAAATCGAAATTGCCCGAAAATGAAATCGAAATTAAAAATTCTGAGCTCAAGATTCTGTGCGCCTTTACAGGGCGCAGCACCCTTTTAGTTATATCAGATTGGTTATTACAGCTGCTTTAGAAATTATGTTCGTTTTATTTTTTAAATTGCTTTATCATTAACTGTACCATTAGGAGCTGCATCTTTTGGTTTAGTACAAATAATATCTCTGAAATACTTGCGTTGGGCAAGAACATGATACTAGCAGTAGTTTCATTTTACTTTTACAAGGTTCTTAAAACAAATGTTGAGTTGCCCAACGTGCGTGTTTCTAAATTCAATTTATTGTTCCAGCTTTCTGTTATGTTGCGTAAAAAAGGTAATCTTGATTATCCCGGCCTGTTAATCAAACGTAGAATGGTCGGTAGACTGGTTAAGCAAGACTACTTTCGAAACAAGGGCACGTAACCTATTTTTTACTCACACATGCTCAGATGTTATGGCCGACGCTCGGAACCATCTTTCAGTGTAGTATTCATGGATGATTAAATGGTCATAGCTTATTACGTACAGCATGACCGTTTATTTAGTGACAATAAATGTTTGAAACTGATTTAAGGCTTGGTGTATATATACATATTGTGGCGTAATTGTCGAGATATTTCAATAACTCAATACATATTATAGATCGCTAGAATCGTAATTAGGTCAGCTATCTGAATGTGTAACCTTTTAAATCCTATTCCAGACATTTCAAAGTCTTATTGGACTGCTTCATGCACAATACCTCCGAAGGGACTCTCGATAGAGGAAGTTTAAAAAAAAATCGTTGGAGTAGTTTTCGAGATAAAGGCGTCCAAAAACGCTCCAAATCAGAAAATACTTGATTTTCAGCGTCCCATATTTTCAAATATGGTCATCGTATCTGTATGAATTGGGTATCATATACGACAGTTCAATCTCCCCTCGACCCAATGATACCATAATTTCTTGAATCCATTGATATTGGACGGAGAAATTGCATTTTTCCCCAAAACACCCATTTTTCGCGTTTTTTTTAAATATCGCATATTATTTCGACTACTTCCAGTTTACGGATTGTTGTTGAAATTGCTTCATCCAATGGTTTGACCATATGACGTTATGTTCCAGGAGTTTCAGAAACATCGATTAATCCTTTAAAAAAAAATATAAGGGTTGGAAAATGGGCAGAAAATTTTTAAAAAATCGAAAAATAAAGGGCAATAACTTGGAATAAAACTTATATTACTGGAATCATATTGACATAAGGTTTCCAATAATGTAGGTCAAATTTGAACAATTTGAAAAATAACAAAAATTGTCTCATAAACAACGTGTTTTCAATTTTAGAACTATAAAAGTCATACACAAATATTCGAAATTGAAAAATGTGAGATAGCCATTGTCTCAGAAAAGATTTAGGGTTTCCGAAAATGTCATTTGTTTGAAGCGACCAGCAATAGCGCCATACACGTGGGAGGGGTTGATTGTCAAATTTGACACTTCAAGGAAGAGTTGATGAAAACTGCCACATACTGGTTTATCCTATCCATGTTTGCTTTCCTATCGGTTCTTGCATAAGATTTACTGTTAAGCATATCTTTGCTTTAGTGTGTTACGTTTAATTTGATCGGGAGAAGTGTTTGTCAACGTCAACCGACAACACTGCAAGAATTGGCCATGGTACTACATGTGTTCATGTGTAGGCAATAAAAACAGCAGTGCAGTTTTGTATTGTTTCTGAATATCCCCTACTTTTTTTGAAGAGTATATATAGGACTACCACTATTTTTGCAAAATTTCAGTTTATTTTTCTAGAGCTGAAACAGTAAAAGACTGTCAGATAAAAACAGCCTGAAGCGAATTAGCTGAAGGAACAACTATGGAAATTTGTTATTATGAGACTTTCTGATCTATTTTGAGCTATTTTTCTTTGAGATAATTAATGCATGGTTCATAGTAAAAAATACTATACGGTTTAACACATACGTATGGACAAAATTTGTTTGTGGACACTCTACAGGTCAAACTTGAAATATAGCTTTATCTCCCTAAGATCTCGGTTCCGTTCGATATTGGCATATATCGCACCATAACTTCATGGATTATGGCCCCTGATTGTACGAAAAATTGGTATATCAAGGTTGTGGACTCTGTAGAGGTCACAATTTTAATCCGATTTTGATAAAACTTGAAATGCATATTTATAACCCAAAGATCTTGATTCCTTTCGATATTCGCGCATATCGGACCGTAACTTCCTGAATTATGGCCCCTGATTGTACGAAAAATCATGTTTTAGCTTGTGGAACCTATAGAGGTCAAATTTTTATCTGATTTAAAAAAACGTATTATTTTATCACCGTTACACCCTAAGGACGGCTGAGTTCGAATTTCGTAAAAAACGGCCCAAAACTGACAGACAAAATGGCGGCCCTTCGTTCTCAAATAGCGTAAAGTATGGTATATCAAAGTTGTGGACCCTATAGAGGTCACAATTTTTATCCGATTTTGTTGTCCCCCGCCTTTCGAAGAAAGCAGGGGACTATTAAAATGGGTTCGTCCGTCTGTCTGTCTGTCTGTCTGTCTGTCTGTCTCGTCTGTCTGTCCGTCTGTCTGTCCGTCACACTTTTTGGGACACAATAACTCTCTTCCTAATTGAGCTAGAATGTTCAAACTTGGTGTATGTGTTTATTAGGTCAATGCCTTGATGGAGTTCGAAGATGAGCATTTTCCGCTTAGGGTAAGCAGAGATAAGCAATTTGATTGGTTGATGCTTTGGGACACGATAACTCTCTTCCTAATTGGGCTAGAATGTTCAAACTTGGTGTATGTGTTGATTAGGTCAATGCCTTGATGGAGTTCGAAGATGAGCATTTTCCGCTTAGGGTAAGCAGAGATAAGCAATTTGATTGGTTGATGCTTTGGGACACGATAACTTTTAATTGAGCTAGAATGTTCAAACTTGGTGTATGTGTTTATTAGGTCAATGCTTTGATGGAGTTCGAAGATGAGCATTTTCCGCTTAGGGTAAGCAGAGATAAGCAATTTGATTGGTTGATACTTTGGGGCACGATAACTCTCTTCCTAATTGAGCTAGAATGTTCAAACTTGGTGTATGTGTTGATTAGGTCAATGCCTTGATGGAGTTCGAAGATGAGCATTTTCCGCTTAGGGTAAGCAGAGATAAGCAATTTGATTGGTTGATGCTTTGGGACACGATAACTTTAGTTCTAATTAAGTGAGATTGATGAAACTTGGTGTATAGTTTCATTACAGTAATACCTTGACTAAGTTTGATAATGAGCATTTTCTGCTCAGGGTAAGCAGAGCGATACGCAATTTGATTGGTCGAGACTTTGGAAAACAATAACTCTCCTAATTTGATTGTCCCCCGCCTTTCGAAGAAAGCAGGGAACTATTAAAATGGGTTCGTCCGTCTGTCTGTTTGTCTGTCTGTCCGTTCCGCTTATGGTAAGCAGAGATAAACAATTTGATTGGTTGATCTTCGAATTGAGTAAATGTTCATGCTTATTGTCCCCCGCCTTTCGAAGAAAGCAGGGAACTATTAAAATGGGTTCGTCCGTCTGTCTGTTTGTCTGTCCGTTCCGCTTAGGGTAAGCAGAGATAAACAATTTGATTGGTTGATGCTTTGGGACACTATAACTTTAGTTCTAATTAAGTGAGAGTGATGAAACTTGGTGTATAGTTTCATTACAGTAATACCTTGACTAAGATCGATAACGATAATGAGCATTTTCTGCTCAGATTAAGCAGAGCGATAAGCAATTTGATTTGCTGAGACTTTGGAACACAATAACTCTCTAATTATTTTCCTATTTCGGCGGGGGACATCAGCCTCACTGTTGGCTTGTTGAAACTTGAAATGTAAGTTTATAACCCAAAGATCTTGGTTCCTTTCGATATTTGCGCATATCGAATTGTAATTTCCTGAATTATGGTTTAAAGTATCGTTTGGTAGCTCGATGTATAATACAATACAGCATTGTATGACACTCTTCTTGAAAGCCGGTTCAGTGCTCCTCTTGCAGGTCTAGTTAGGGTTTCACACTGCGTAGCCAGTATGAAACACTATTGTTTTTGTTTGGATTATTAGGGTTTCACACTGCGTAGCCAGTGTGAAACACTATTGTTTTTGTTCGGATTATTATTCTTATTATTATTATTATTCTTATTATTTGTTTTTGTTTGGATTATTAGGGTTTCACACTGCGTAGCCAGTGTGAAACACTATTGTTTTTGTTCGGATTATTATTCTTATTATTATTATTATTCTTCTTATTATTATTATTTTTCCATTTGAGCATATCTCAGAAACTACTTGTCGGATCGGTTCGATGTCTTCGGTTTTACTGGGAAAGTGGGTT